TCTTATTCTGAGTGTCTTTTAGAATACAATTAACTTCCACACCACATTTGTACTTCCCAAATCTAATTTAGTTGTACAAGGACAAGGGTGTTCCTGCCGAGAACAGGTACCTACAAACGCAAGAGGAGCCAGGTCAGGCCTGGGCATAATTAAAGAGGAATTCCCTGGGCTCAGGAGCTTTCACACTGCTCTGCCTGCAGGTGAAATCCCAGATGCCTTGGCATGGAGAGGGGAGAGGGATGCCTGCTCCTGTGAGGAGCTTTCTGTGCCAGGCTGGAGAACTCTGAAGGTGAGGCTGGAACATCAAACCTTCCAGAGAGCCTGGAACATCAAACAGGAAAAGCTTGGTGTCCTTGCTAATGCCCAGAAAGCACCATGTTATTCACGAGCAGATGCCACCAGTGTCCTCCCCTGGGCCAGCAGGAGCCACACTGTGAACTCCTGAGCCTCATTTCCCAGTGTGGGAAAAGCCAGTGGAGCATTTCCCAGGATCTCCCCTCACTGCGCTCCTGGTGATGATCCTCATCCTCTGGAGGAAGGCAGGGAGGAGGAGCAGCTGTGCTGGGGGGATGGCAGGATCTGGCTGCCCTGCTAGTGATGAGTGTGAGCAGAGGGATCCAGATACCTGCTCTGTAGGTGACACCTGCATTTGGGAATTTCCTCCCCAGATCTCTCTCAGTGCTGGTTTTCCTGCGGGATGCGGATCCCCAGAGCCAGCGCACCCCAACCCCTGCTGTGCATCCCTCTGGCTCTGCAGGGTGGTGTGAGGGGCCCTCGTTCCAGCCCCTCATCAAAGTGCCCGACGGCTCGTTATGACCTGCAGGCTCAGGTGAAATAATGAGTTTTCATTGCCGTGCCATAAACTTTATGGAAGTTGTAAAGGAATGGAGCTCCGCGCCGGTGCGCGCCGGCACCTGGGAACTGCAGGGGAGGCGGGGGGCTCGTGCACCCCCGAGTGGATAATTGGGACAGTGGTGGGGATTGGTGCTGAGCAGAGGTCCCCTGGCTGGGGCAGGGGGCTCGGGGGCTCTGTGGGACTGTGTGGTGCCGGGAGGGACGTGGACACGTCCAGGAAGTCCCTGAATTAAACCCCAGCCCAGCCCTGTTCCAGCTGCACATACAGGTCACACGTTTTATTGGCTGTGGCACCGTTCCATCTGTTCCAGCCTGACATCTCAGGTCCTTCCTCCTCCTCAAAGCTTTGATTTTATGACAGCTCAGCTCCCCAAAGGCAGCTTTTTTCTCCCTCTGCCTTTCCAAACCTCCAGAGGATTTCTTTCCCTGCATATGCTTAAAGCTCCTCCTGTCCCACAGCCTGCCATGGCAGGGACACCTTCCACTATCCCAGGCTGCTCCAAGCCCCATCCAGCCTGGCCTTGGACACTTCCAGGGATGGGTCAATCACAGCTCTTCAGGGCACCCTGTGCCAGAGCCTCACCAGCCCCACAGGGAGGAATTCCTTCCCCATGTCCCATCTAACCCTGCCCACTGATAGTGGGAAGCCACTCCCTGTGTCCTGTCACCACAGTTCCTGATGAATCCTTCCCATGAAGTTCATCCCAGCCTCGGGAGAACCTGACTGCCTGTTCCTGTGGGCACAGGGGGTGGTGGCAGGCTGTGGCACTGACTGGCAGCCTCAGCATCCCCCGTGAGCAGAGGGACAGCCCCGGCCTAGCATCACAGCCCGAGAGCTGCAAAGTGCGCTATTAAATATTTAATTCAACTTAACGAGTCAATAGAGCCGGCGCTATCGGAGGGTCGGGGGCTCACTCACAGCCTGCTCTGATTAACAAAGCACCTGGGCAGGCAGGATCTGCTGATCCAGCCAGCCAGGGCTGTTACACAGTGCTCGATGCCGCCGGAGAGGCAGCATTAACTGGGAAGCATCGATTTCGACATTAGCCGGCTTTTACATTCAAAAGCAGAAGACGCAAGGACCTTCAATTATCTTCAAAGCAACTGAAGGGAAGGAAATTGGTCTTAGATGTGGTAAATAGACTCCACAAACTCTACTGAAGCATGCAAAGATGTACACAAGGGAATTACAGATCCTCGCCTAACTGGCTGGAGTTTACTCAAAAATGTGATTGGAATTCTCCGGATTTCATGGGAGGATGTTTTGGCGCTAATCTGATCTGGGGCCTTGTTAATCTGATTGGGATTGTTGCTGCAGGAAGCAATAATGTCTATGAGTTATTGCCAGCCAACCCACCTGGTCTGGGCCTGCTTTGGTTTTTGGGGAGATTTTGGTTGGTTTTTTCTGATATCATATTGGTTGTCTGCATATGTGGGACCGGATTTTCCCCAAGAGCGCTGGAGCAGCTGGGGAATGTTCCTTTGCTCCTGAATAACCAACTCCTGTATCCCTGCAGGTGCTGTGCACACAGAAAGTTCTGTCCCAGCTTCTCCGGAGCCTGGTGGCCCCTGTAGGGGAGGGCTCCCCATTGCCCGGGGGATCACTGCACCCCGAGCTCCCCAGCCCTAGTGCAGGATCCCAGCGGGCTGTGCCCCCTCACCTGCTCAGCCAGGGCCTCGTGTAAAGCACATAAAGCAGCATTTTCCCACTCACCACCCCCTGCCTTTGCACGTGGGATAGCAGCGTGCCCGGCTCCCCTCATCTCCCTTGTGCCCAGGCCCTGCTCCTAACAGGTGATTAATGCTCCTGAGGAGCAGCACGCTCCCTGGGAGCCAGCACCGCTCCCCTCTGTGCCAGGCAGGAAACAGCAGCAGGAAAACTCTGCTCTTATTGTGCCGAGGCTTAAATAAGGAAATCCTGTGTAAAATGGTTTTGTTTTTTTCTCCGAGCCTTGGTGGTTTCCTCAGCCCCAAAGGTTGCATCGAGCAAACACACCAGATCTTTCCAAGGAGGATTATTGACTGGGAGTCACACACCGTGTAAACAGGGCTGGCAGGTTTGATCTGCAGCGCAGCCGTGTCAATGCTCCGATTGATCCGAACGCAGGGAGCTTAGAGCCCCGAGGAGATGGGGCTCGGAGTGTGGGAGTGGGGATGGCACCGCCTGGGGAGGGGCCCTGTTCCCCTGGCCAGGGGGGACAGCTGGCACGGGCTCCCAGGGGCGATGCAGGACCCACAGTCCGTGTGCTGAGCCCAGCCCAGCAGGATTTATCTGCATCAGGTCAGGCTGGGTTTGCTCTTGCCATTGCTTAGCAACACGGCAGGGCAGGCAGAGCCGGAGAGGAAGAGGAGAACCACAGGGGGCTGAACTCAGCTTTGGCTGTGCTCGGTCCCTGCAGTGTCAGAATCCTGTCCCTGGCCCCATCCTGGCCTCTGCTGCGGGCTGGTGATGGAACTGAGCTCTGGGAGTCTCACACCATGCTCATTCCTGTGTTTGTTTTGCATTGCTGCTGGAAGCAGGCTGGGATATCCTGAGCTGTCTGCTCGGCCTGGTGGAGTGCTGGCACCTGGAAGATCTCTCCCAGGTTGGGACAGTCCCCACTCACTGTGTATAAATAGCACAAGCACTGTGAGCTGCTCATGAGCCAGAGGGAATGCTGTCCCATGGAAGCCCATGGGCTGGGCTCTGTCCCTGCACCAGCCCCAGGCAGGCTAAAGGGTGAGGGATGTGATTCCAGCAGCTGAGCCTGGCCTGTCAAGGAAACTTCCCTCGAAACCCTGCGTCTCACGAGCTATTTCCATGGAGCAGGGTGACTCTCTGGCTGTGAGTCAGCAGCAGCAGCAGGCTCAGCACCGATGGGAGAAGCAGAGCTGCTGTGACAGGGAGGTGCTCTCCGAGGGACACGGGGGGAAGGAGCTGCCTGGGTGGGCAGCGTGGCCGGGAGCCAGGGAGATTTGTGCAGGGGGATTTGTGCAGGGAGAGGGGAGATGGATGGCAGCAGATCCCCGGCTCCAGAGCTGGGAAATCGCTCGTAGGTTTGGATTAAATGGAGCTCCACAGCGGTGAAAAAATCAAAACACAACTTGCAGACTCTCGACCACAACATGGGGCATCTGAAAGCCTCGCTCAGGGTTTATCTCCTCTGGGTACGGCTGCTGAGCTGCAATGAAGTGAGGGACAGGTCCGGCCATCGATGCCCTGAGCATCCCCCAGCCCAGCCTGGTGGGAGCAGCCCTGGGCAGTGCTGGGCATTGCACAGGGCTCCCCAGAGCTTCCTGGAGAATATATTTTTACCCCCCTCACTCTGTAATTACCCTTCTCTAGCCACATTTTCTGTTCTCTGGTAATTAAATCAAGCAGCACAAGGGCAGAAATACCTCGTGAGCTCCACTCTGGCGTTGCATCAACCTTGAAGCTGCCAATGCCTCAGTTTTCCTGCACAGCCTCCACACCACTCATTGGGAACAGACTGTTTAATGCCATTGCCCATCTCCCGGGGCCCCTGGGGCCCTGTGCCAGGCTGTGCCAGGGGCTGCTGCTCCAGGACAGAGGTGCTGGCTCTGCCCAAGGGTCCCCACAGCATCTCTGAACCAGTGGGAGCCAAGGGGAAGGGCTGGGGGCTCGGTCTCCCGTTCCCCTCACCTGGAGTAGGTCAGGGTGTGCAGGCTGGCAGCTCCCAGAGCCCGTGCTGCAGGCGCCTGGCCCGGGTTCCACTCTGCTTGCCTGGGATGTCCTCCAAACCGTGTCCAGTCACACGGAATTTTCAGCCTGAACGGTGATTTGGCTCTGTCCTGGAGGTAGCAGAAGGTTTCCCGTGCTGCCGGGGACTCCAGCAGCTCGGGCAGGGATTGTGGTGAGTGTCCTTAGGGCCGGAGGGTGTCGGCAGGGCAGGCGGCCGTGCTGGTGCGAGGGCGGGTGCTGGAGCTGGGAGAAGGATGGGGACAGACTGGGATAACCAAATTCCTCTGTGTGGCCAGAGCCAGGGCCCCTTCCTGGGGCAGGGATGCTGCATCCCGAGGCAGCCGTGCCAGGGGAGATGGGTGCTCCTCCTGCCACAGCTATTTATCCTGGGAGAAACAGAGGAATATTTTGTATCTTTGACAAAGCAGCACTTTACAAGCCGTTGACACTTTATTAACTAATCTCTGATACTTGAGTAATTTATTATGTTTAAGCTGGTGCCATCAAGTCTCTCAGCAGTGTCCGTGTGCGCCGGGAAATAAATTAAAGACTGTCCAGAGATACTTGGCTCATCGCTGTGATTGCTGGGCTGGCGAGATGGAGGGCTAAGGTTCTCTCCTCCTGCAAATTGGAAATTAGGAATTAATAAGATGACAGGCCAGAGAGCCCCGCTGGCTGCGGCTGGCAGAGAGCTGCTGCTGGGGGAGCGGGCACAGCAGCTCCGGGCACGGCGCTCACTGTGTGTCCCATCCAGGGAGGCTCCGGGAGGCCTCGTGGTGTGGCAGCATCTCCATGGAGCCAGTGGGATAATGTGGGTAATTACAGCCCTGCCAGGCGGCCATCACTCCTGGGCAACGTAATGGAAGAGCTGAGGTGGGGCCTCGTTAATAAAAATTTCGAGGAGGTGATACAACAAATGCCAGTCAGCACGGGGTGTGGAGCACTGCCCTTGCCAGACTGATGTGGGATCTTTTCGATTCGATTGCAAGCTTGCCTGATAAAGGTATCAGTGCTGATGAGGCGCTCCTCGGCTCCGGGAGATGGCCCAGTTGGGCTCCAAAGGTTTGGGGTGTAGGCTCGGGGTCCCCTGTGGGCTGGGGGGCAGTGGGCAGCTCTTCCCGCAGCGGTGGCACAAGGAGATGCTGAGCTGCCCCATCCGCCCGTTTCCACGGCAACGCACGATCGCTGGCTGAGGGAGGAGGGAGCAGCCCTGGCAGGAGATGCTCTGCTGCCGGCGAGCCTGCCCTGGGGCTGGGGCTGCTTCCTCCTGCACCAGCCACGGCCCTCACCACTGCTTGGGCACAGTCCCCGGGTAATTAAAACGTGTGTCATTAACAAACAACGACCGAAACTTTAATTACTCAGTCTGCACCTGGGTTTCCCCCTCCCCAGACTGCCCAACTCACGGAAAGAAGCAGGAGTAGGGAAGGAGGCTGAGGGCAAAACCTGATTACGTTTATTAAGCCAATACAAAAGCTTGGTGCTGTAACAGGAATTAAATTAATTTAAAAAGTAATTTGCTTCCAAAAATGGGATTTGACAGCGCACAGGCTGCTGCATGGGTCCAACAGATAAAGTGGGCAGGGTGCAGCCCCCAACCTGACCCCCCCACGGTGCCCAGGTCTTTGCTCCAGGGTGTTTGCTCGACTTGCCACACACCCGGCAGGATGGATTTTGGGGACAGACACAGAGCTCTGTCCCGCCTTTCCCATCTTGGCTTTCCCCTTAAAGGCAGGTGAGCTCTTCTTGCTCTGGAATGCTGGGATTTTTTGGGTGAGATATGCGGAGGAAAGAGAAGGGAGAGGCAGAGGAGAAGTTGCCAGAGGGACATCTCCAGACCCTTATCACATCCCATTGGATGCCTGCACTCTGTAACCTGCCTGGTGCCAGTCAGGGGACGGTTTGTGACTTTGTTGAAAGTGAAAAATCATCTGCTGAAAGATGAGAAAAGTGCTGGCTTGAAAGTGACACGTTTTTGGCCCAAGCTGCTGGGTCTGGAAAGCTGCTCAGAGGAAGCAGATTGCTTTCAGCCAGAAAGGGTTTGATTGAAACCCTTGTTTTCTGTGGGAGGGAAAAAGTTTTGACAAAACGTTTTTATAGTAACCTGGGCTCTGTCTCGCCGCCGGCTCTGGAAGTCGCTTTCTCATTTGAGCACTTCCCCTCAGCAGCAGTTGTGCTGAGGATTTCATTGTGAGGATGTTTTTGCAGCCAGGCAGAGGGTGAGGATGGGGCAGCACCGCTGGGTCCGGTTTCCCTCGTGCTGCAGAGGGTCTGACTGGTACCCACAGTGCTGTTCCCAAATTGCCTCTGGCTGCCGTGCAGAGCAGTGGCCTCTCTGTTTTCACAGCCTGCTGGGCTGTATTTTGCCATTTTGCCTCCTTTAGTAAATGATGGAGGTGGCTTCTGCCATGCAAAGTAGGTCAGAACCTGAGCAAAGGGTTTTCCAGGTGCCCTGGGTTGGGAAGTGGGAAGCACCGAGCTCTCCTCTCTCCCGTCCTGCTCCTTCCTCTGGAGGCATGCTGGCATCTAACCACTTTTAACCACTGGGTTTGAGCAGCAAATTATAAGCTAAATTATAAGTAAGGCTCAGCTCTCACCGGGCTCTGTCTGTTCTGCCAGTGCAGGAGATGCTCCCCAGCCCTGCTCTGCATCCAGGCCAGCGCAGTCATTATGTCTGCGGGGGGCCAGGCTGCAGCCCTGGGCCTGAAAAATGCATGAGCGTGCTCCTTCCCAGGGAGCAGGGCAGCTCAGCCTTCAGCCTCCTCCTCAGCATCCTCCTGGCCCCAGGAGCAGGGCAGCTCTGCCTTCATCCTCCTCCTCAGTGTCCTCTATGGCCGAGGAGCAGCAGTGGAGCCGTGCTGTGCCTGCACAGGAGAGCAAACCCTCCCACTGCTGCTCTTGCTGCAGCCGGCAGTTTCCAGAAAAACCCTATTTTACCCCAAGAAATGATCCCGAGAACAATCCCAAGGGGTGTCCAGCCCACCTGGAGTGGTGCTTGGCCCGAGTGCTGGGGCAGAGGGATGCTGCTGTGCCCGGGGTGTGATGCTGCTGAGGCTTTTCCATGGTGCAGCTGATGGGATGCGGCAGGGAGGGGACCCAAAACCTCTGCAGCTCTTACGGGGGTCTGCAGTGCCCGAGCACGGTGGGCATCGAGCAGGGGACCCCTCCTCTTGGGCTGGCTGGGGACAGGGCAGATGGAAGTGCCAGTCGAGCTGTAGCGACATAAAAGCTCCAGGCACACCACAGAGAGGATTTCTTAACCCAGCAGGAGCCTCCCGGGCAGGTCTCGGGGAAGATGAGAGAGTTGTGGAGTGCTGTTCCCTGAGTTGAGCAGAGGAAAGTGCTGGCTAAGCTGCTCCTCTGGCTCACCCCGCGCTCTCCCCGCCGGCTTTCCGTGCAGGTGTAATGGATGGAGAAGAGTGGGATTGAAGGTCTTGGGGGCAGAGAAGACAGCGTGTGAGCCATCAGTCAGGTGCAAAAGCAAAGTAGTAACATTTCAGGGCAGTAATTTTTAATAATTTATGAGTTTCACTCGGTTCCCAGAGTGTTATTACCTCACTTAACATCATTTACAAATTACACATGATCCCATCAATTGTAGTAAAGTGAGGAAGTGTCTGGGAGACGCTCAAAAATCAAACGCTATAGAGCAAATGAGGATTTATGAACCCGAACGGGCTGCAGTGGTGGCGGGGGCAGCCATGCAGTGCCGGGGTGTCACCCAGCCCAGCCCAGCGCTGCCTCTCGGTCCCCTCACCCCCGTGTCCCCGGGATGCTGTGGTGGCTGCAGAGGGGGAGAGAAGGGGAATGAGCTGTGGGACCTGTCCACACTCGTGTTCGGTCCCTTCCCTGCACGGAAGGCAGGCAGGAGGGAAGCTCCGGTCCCGCTCTTCCCCTGGTGGCTGGCGCTGCATCCCAGGCGAGCTCCTTTGTGTCGCCGGTGGCACAGAAACCTTCTCCATGGCAACCCAGCCAGCAGGGCAGGAGGTGGCCGGCTGGGATGCTCCTCCAGAGGGGGACTGGGCACCCGACGGGCAGCACCAGCAGCGAGGGCTTCAGGGGGCTCCAGCAGAGCCCCTCGAGGTCCGGAGGAAGGGAAGGGATGCCCAGCAGCAGCAGCCCGTGGCAGGAGCGGCTCGCCGCGTCCCCTGCGGGATGCTGAGGGGCTGGGCGCCTTGGTGTGGGATAAAGAAAGGGCTGGGAGGAGCATCCCTGGTCTGCTTGGCACAGGCAGAGCTCCCTGGGTGGGGAGCTGCGGTCCCCAAATTGCCAGGGATATTAGTGGGCTCCGTGGCCAGGAACTGCCTCATCTACAAACAGATTATTTTTAAGTGAAAAGACAGTAGCAGCTGCTTAAATGCATTGACTCGTTGAAAACCACACAGATTTGGATACCGATGGCACCGAGTGCTATCGCTGAGGTGTCTCGGCCCATCTGCGTAAAGTAACTATTGATTTTGGTTGATATGCATCGATTCTAAGAAAACTGCCCTGCTTTGAAAATGAACTTCCAGTAGTTTCAGGGGAAGAGGCAGCGAGCGGTGTCGCTCTCGCAGGGCTCCCTCGTTTCGCTGAAGGTGGCTCCTGCATCTGAAAAACAGGAGCGAAGGCAAACAAATAGCTCGGAGGGAATTAAAAAGCATCGATCCTCGGGGCAGGGGATAATGGCCTCCGCTAAAAGCTTTTGGAGACGTTAATACATGGCTTTGAATAAAGATCTGCTCTGCCCGCGCCGCGCTGGGGCGGGCGGTGAGGAGCGCACGGCTGTCCTGGGGCGCTCCCCGAGGTCTGCAGGGGCTGTGCCACCTGTCCCTGGCTGTCCCTCGTGTCCCTCGTGTCCCCCGTGTCCCTCTGTCCGTCCCCCTCCTCCTCGCAGGCATTTTAATTGGCAGGGCAGGGCAGTGGCCGGGCAGCCTGACCCGGCAGAGCTGCACCGTCCAGTCCATCTGGGAGAGGCAATCCGAGCGCCTGCAGCAACTCCTCTCTGTTAATTAAAGGCATTAATTGGCACGCAGCCTGTTTATTTAAAGAGGCAGCAGCCTCTGTGGTGCCTGGCAGCAGTTGGAGTGCCCTGAGAGCCGGGCACACGGAGAGCAGAATTTGGGAGGGACATCTGTCCCCATCCCTGGGAAGGACAGTGCTGGGAGCCCAAGGAATGCCCGCGGGGCTGGATCTGTCCCTGCTGTCCCGGGTCTCCTCCCGACCCCTCTGTGCACCCTGAGCGTGCTGTGAGTGAGACCTGGTGCAAGCAGGAGAGTCTGAATGTCGGGAAACACATTTTGGGTGAAAAATGTGTTGGGTGAAAGATGTGCTTCCTTCCTTTCACTGACTAAGCTGCAGGAGGGATGCCTTTGTTGCTGCATTTCATGGTCACAGCCTGGACACTGCTCCTGCACCCCAGGAAGGGGATGGGGTGCACCACTGGCACTGGCAGCACGCCCTGAGCGGGTGGGTGACAGCTCCAAGGCTTCAGAGGCTCAGCCCTGACCCTGTTCAAGTCCTCACACTTCCATTCCTCAGCGTAGTCTGGGAGCCACACGAAAATTAGATCTAATAATGAATGATTACAACTTCCAAGGTAAGTCTAGTTGGTTGACTAATCAATTTGGTTAAGTGAAAATCCATAGCAAATGAGGCAGCCGCAGTACAACATTTCTCCATCCAATTTAAATTAAAACACCAACCATAATAATTTCACAATTACTCTGGGAGGATCCACCAGGGACTTGCCCCTGGAGGAGGGAAATGTCAAGGACTGCAGGAGAGGCCCCAGGAGCGGGCAGGAGCAGGGAGCAGCCTCTGGCATGGCTGGCTGCCCGTCAGGTGCCCGCAGCTCCCAGGAGCTGGAGAGGGGAACCTGCTCCTTCCCATCCAGTTGTAATTTCTCTGTTCTGCTGTGGCAGGAACGTGAGGGACTGGAACATTAAATCCCCTGGAAAGTTGCCGCCGCAGCAGCCTTTAGTGGCCTGAATTATTT